TTTTTTTTTTTTTTTTTCTTTTTTAGTTTATTTATCTTTGAGAGAGAGCAGAGAAAGCAGGGGAGGGGCATAGAGAGAGAGACAGAGAATCCCAAACAGGCTCAGCGCTTAACCGACTGAGCCACCCAGGCACCGGTGCTCTAAATTACTTTTGGTTAAGTCAATCCACTTAGTTTATAAATGTGCATGCAGAAGGACCATAGTTTTTAAACACAAAACCAGTCAGAGTCCCACTAAGGGCAAAGAAGGGAGCAGCATTCTCAGAGCATTTTGATGACTGCAATCCCATCACTAGGTTTTTCTCTAGTGCAAAGGGAAAAACTCCTAAACAGCACAGTTTCATCAGTAGCAGCTTGGTTCCAGAAGGAATCAGAGTGAAGACCGTCACCGTTCCAATAGGAACAATCCAGACCCCAAAAGAAGTCCGACCAAAGGCCAAAGGAGCACTTTCAAAGTAAAAACAAAACAAACAACCAGGGCATAAAACAGATCCTAATAAAGCCTGGAGAGTGCAAACACAAAGCGCAGAGCCCCAAATCCAGGAGGAAACTTACCGCAAACTCCAGGGTCAGCGAGAAAGCAGTGAGCCCAATTGGCTCTGTGGGTGCTGTCGGGTTTGTTCACCAGCCTCCGAGTTGCTGGGGGTCTTCTTCGCATCCCACTTCTGATCACCAAGTAAGTTAACCTTACAAAACAAAACTGCCAGCTATTTTAACAGCAAAAAATGGATTTATTGGGGGATAGCAGAGAATCGCAAGCCACAGCACACACTCTCCCAAGAAACTATAGGTAACTCCCTTCAACGAGAGGAATGTTCCTTTATAGAGGAAAGGGGAAGCTCGGCTGTTATAAACAGAAAGTCCATTGGTGAAAACTGGGAGTTCAAAGTATAGTGGCTTTTCATTGGCTGCATTGTTGCAGTCTCTCATTGGCTGGGCTGTTGCCAGGGGAGGAGAAAGGCCTTCCTTCTTGCTGGGATAGGAGTGGCCATGTGCAAGGTCCTTCTCTTCCCCTGGGTCTGTAATTGACAAGTCATAGGGCCCGAGAGCTCACCTTGAGGGCTTCCCAACTGCATTCTAAAGGAGATTTCCTTTTATTACTTTTCACAGAGCATACTCTAATCTCTGCCATTATTGCAGGAAGAACTCTTAAAAAGGTTAATGATAGGTACTGGAGAACCAACATACCCAGAAGAGAAAAACATGGTTTTAGTGTTATTGTATAAGAGTAAAAGTAATTGCAATAAATTCTACAATTTTCTGGATTCTAATTCAAATTGAAGTTTACAGATTTTCCCTTAACTTCCTTCAATTTATACCTGGTCTCTTTAACACTGGAAATCTTGGCTCCTAACAACATTAGCATAGTTACTTTTTTTTGGTCCTAATTTACATCAAACAGTTTCAAAATAATACTGTGCATTTTAACAAGAAATATACTAAATGATGTTTAAAGTTTCTTTGAAGTTTCATTTGTTGTTAGAGTATGTTCCATAGCGACATACAGTCTGAACTGCACTTTTTTAAAATGTTTTATTTATTTTTGAGAGACAGAGCACGAGCGTGGGGAAGGGCAGAGAGAGACGGAGACACAGAATCCAAAGCAGGCTCCATGCTCTGAGCTGTCAGCATAGAGCCTGACCTGGAGCTTGAACCCACAAATCATGAGATCATGACTTGAGCTGAAGTCAGACGCTCAACCGATTGAGCCACCCAGGAGCCCCTGAACTGCACATTTTTAAAAAAATTTTTTCAGGTTTATTTACTCATTTTGAGGGAGGGGGTTGGGACAGAGAGTGAGGGAGAGAGAGAGAATCCCCGAGTTGCCAGCACAGAGCCCAACTCAGGGCTGGATCTCAGGAGCCATGAGATCAGGAGCTGAAATCAAGAGTCAGACACTTAATGGACTGAGCCACCCAGGTGCCCCTGAACTGCATGTTTTACAAAAAGGTTGTAGTAAAGGCACCCATAGTGACCAGTAGAAACCTTCCCCCCAAATTGTTTTTGTGTTGGCATGATATAGCCCACACAACACAAGGAAGCAAAATTTGTTTTTCCAGGAGCCTTGCTGTCTATCATCAGAGAGAGAACAGCCCTGTGAAGGCTTGGGCTGAATTATCAGAGGTTGCTTACCACTCTTGCCAAACTCTGAAGTCTTGTTAAGGAGATTTGTACCTGTCTCCCAACCTTCTCATCTTCCCTCTCTCCTTGAAAAAAATCAGAAAGCGGGTATTCTGAAGTATGGGTCTCGAAGTACACATTTAGGTGATTGTGTAAACTTGAAGTGTAGCTGAGGCACAGGGGTGCAAGGGCACCTGGCTGCAGGGGTCCCAAACCAGGTTTGGCCATTTGCTGCTGACAAAATCCAAAGGCAGAGAAACAGGTGGTGGTCAAACCAGAAATAAATTTATTTCAGTGAGGCCAACACTTGGGAAGACAGCAGACTAAGCCCTCGAGGACTGTCTCCAAAGTACCAAAAATACTTCAAGACTTATATAAGGAAAACATGGGACAAAGGTCTGTGGGTGCGTGCAGATAGGCTGTGACCTTCAAACCAACCATTGTCTTGAGGTCAATCACATGGGGTGTGGCTGGCAGCTGGGCAGTCCCTATTGCCTGAGGGGGATAGGTTTTAGGTCTTCTGCCTGAGTTAAAAGATAAGCTAGAAAAAATTTAATCAGTTAGAAAGTTTGAAGTCAAAATGGAGGTAAGTGCTGTCCTCTCTCCGAAGCTGGGAGTAGGTGCAATTGACTACTAGGAAAAGTGTAACGTGAGTGGGTGCAGAAATCGGTGTAACACAGACCTGTAAGACCAGGAGGAGTCAGACATCTCAGAGGACGGGAAACTGGCTGGTGCACAGAGTTGTTGAGTCTAGGAAGGGAGAAGAGGTTTTTACCATACTCCGAGAAGCACTGTGGTGCCCCCAGAGGTAGGTTCCGTTACCCCGAGAGCGGTGAGTTCCCAGAGTCCAAACTGGCATGCGCTTCACTCGGCTTCTGCTGGCCGCTCACAGGGACACCCAGCACAGAGCAGGATGGCCTGGCCTGGAGGAAGTCCCTTGCGCAAAAAGGTGCGATGTGAACTTGGAAGGCGGATGCGTCCCTGAGGGGAAGTGAACGCGAGGCAGCGAGAGGGTGGGAACTAGGTGGTGGTGGGAGAATGATGCCACGCCCAGAACTGGGCTAGGATTCCCCGCGGGGGCCGTGCTTCCCGGCCCTTTCGTTTTGACCTCTTCCCACACCCTGGGACCGCGCAGGCGGCCAAGGAAAGTGTTGCCCAGCAATCGCAGCCGAAGCCTTCGGTTCCCGCCCCTCTGCGGCCGGACCTCCGCCTACTCCTACCGCGGCCGCCCCGCCCCGCCCCCCGCCAGTCTCGGGTCTGGCGAGAGCTGGCGCAGTTAGGAGGCATGGAGGGTGTCGGAAGCAAGGAGGGCGGCCTGGGACGCGCCGTGTGCGTGGTGACCGGGGCCTCCCGTGGCTTCGGCCGCGCCTTGGCCCCGCTCCTGGCCCGGCTGTTGTCGCCCGGCTCTCTGATGGTCCTGAGCGCCCGCAACGACGAGGCACTGCGGCAGCTGGAGGCCGAGCTGGCTGCCGAGCGGCCGGGCCTGCGCGTGGTGCGGGTGTCCGCCGACCTGGGCGTCAAAGACAGTTTGCAGCAGCTGCTCGGCGCCGTGCGCGAGCTTCCCAGGCCCGAGGGGTTGCAACGGGTGCTGCTCATCAACAATGCGGGTAAGACGCCCGCCGGCAGGGGCGGACTCCCCAGGGGAGCCCTAGCAATAGTGCTTAATGCCCCTGCCTCTTCTCGCGCCTTCTCACTTTCCCGAACCGCAGGGAACTTTAAAGGTGACTGTTAGGAATCAGATAAGATGTCTAAAAATCCTGGTTGTTTCAGCAAGGTATGGAGGAAGACTCGGTACCATCGGTGCGGTTCAGGCTTACCCTCCCCACCCCTTCCCGTTTCAGGGCAAATTTTCCAAAATGCCTGTAGAACATTCCTGATCTTTTCCTTGTTCCGCGCCCTCTGGCGGAGGCCTGAGTCAGGGCATGAGGTCTTCCAGCAGAAGTAAATTACCAGTTTTTCCAAATGGCCGCCTGAGTTCTACCCCCAGGCCCAGAGCGGGGCATGCACCCCTTCAGTTTCCAGCTTGGGATGAGTGAACAACCCAGGTGTGTCTGCAGAGCCGGAAAGAGGGAGAAGTCTTCAGAAGCACTAGGGAGATTCCTCTAGGTTTGGATGGGAGGGGGGTGTCTGGAGGAACTTGGAGAAGGCTGGGGGAAGAGAAAGACCCATCTGCACAGAGTGATTCCTATGGTCTGGTTTTCAGGCACTCTCGGGGACGTATCCAAAGGCCTTGTGGACCTGGCTGACCCAGCTGAAGTGAACAACTACTGGGCTCTGAACTTGACCTCCATGCTCTGCCTGACTTCCAGCATCTTGAAGGCCTTTCCAGACAGTCCTGGCCTCATCAGGACTGTGGTTAACATCTCGTCCGTCTGTGCTCTGCAGCCCTTCAAGGGCTGGGGACTATACTGTGCCGGGAAGGCAGCCCGAGACATGATGTTCCGGGTCCTAGCCACAGAGGAGCCTAGTGTGAGGGTGCTGAGCTATGCCCCAGGTAGGTGGGGCATTACCACCATCCCTGTCACCCAGAACTGGCTGGGTGGTTCCCCTCAGGGGTGGGAAAAGGGCCTAGTCCATCCCCTCCAAGAAAGAATCCACAGAGTATATTGTCCCTGAATCATTAACCATCACTCCTTAAGGGAAATACAGACTCCCAGCAAGTGAGAGGTGAGAGCTAGCCAGAACAGGGAGTAGAGTTGGGAGTTGGGAGTTGCCTGGACTGGGCAGTGGGGCGGGGGGCGGGCAGAAAGTCTGAGAGACTAGAGTTTGAGAACAATTAGGGTTTGAATTTCAGGCCTGTACCACATTTCCTTATGTGAAACAGGGAAGATGCTACCTGTCTCACAGGGCATTTAGCAGAGGGCTACAGAGGAGTTGGAACAGGGAGAGAACCAGGAGAGTATAAAGGGCCTGATTATCAGCGTATATAGGGGCAGAACGGTCCGTTTGCTGACTTTTTGGCTGTGGGAACAGAGTGGGGAGGGAGGAGACAGGGATGGAGGTTTTGAGCCTGAGAGAAGAGTACTTCATTAATAGAAATGAAAAAGGCAGGAGGAGGTGCTGGTTGGACAGGAGGTGATAAGCTTGCTGGTAGACTTAGTGGTCTGGAGATACCATGTTCGCTGGGCATTGGAATTTGTGAGTCTGGAACTCAATAGTGACAGAATGACCCTGACCCTTTTGGTGACCCCCTTTGGTGACACTAACCACCCTTGTCAGCCAGGATGAGGTATTGCCTGTGGCCAGACCCGACTCCATCACTCTCCATACACACAGCAGGGGCCCCTGCCTCAGCCATGTCACCTCAGCTCCTGCACTTCATGCCCTAGGTCCGCTGGACACAGACATGCAGCAGTCGGCCCGGGAGACCTCGATGGACCCAGACTTGCGAAAAAGGCTGCAGGAGCTGAAGACAAAAGGGGAGCTTGTGGATTGTATGGTGTCAGCCGAGAAACTGCTAAACTTGCTGCAAAAGGACACATTCAAGTCTGGAGCCCACATTGACTTCTACGATAAATAAGCCAATGCCCTTGGCTCCCTGGGGCTCTCTTCCCCCTCTTTCAGGCACACCCAGGAGCCCTATGCCTCCCCCACATCCTGCTACAGTGGTACTGCCAATCCTGCCTTACTCAGATAAGCACTCATGTCTACTGTCCTGCCCCCAGAGCCAGCCAGCATGAGGGCCTTGGGTGGCCAGAGTCCTAGTTCTCAGGAGTGTGTTGACTGCCCTGAGTTAGGGGAAGCTTGGGGGAGAGAAGTTAGGGTTACTGGTGTTCTCTCTCCCCAGGAATGGAATTTTAGGGGTGGGAAAAGCAGCACAAGAAGCCGAAGCCTTGAAGAGAAAGAGTTGGGTCTCATGGCCAGTCCATGGCTGAGCCAATGTCAAATAGGAGGGTCCATGTTAGATTCCCAGCCTGCAGGGGAGGGAGGACAGTGCAAGTTTGGCACACAAGGATGCTCTGTGCTCATGGTAGCAGGACCTTGTGTTGAACTTCATGTCTTCATTCTCATGCCTCCTCCCTCCAGAACCTGCCATCTGTCCCCCAGATGGAGGGAAGAGGCTTCTGAGAGTTTATGTACGTGTAAGAAGCAGATACAGATAAAATGTGGATTGTCCTTTATTAATGCCTGCCTTCTCTGACACAGGGCCCATGACTGACTCCTGGTTTGCTGGGCTTAGGGGTGTTCCCTGAAGCAATTAACTCAAACTTGGGGAGTTGTCCTTATATCCAGGGGCATTGTCTTGGGAGTATCTGCCTCTTGTCACTGAGCACTACCCAGTGGCAAGCTCGGTTCAGAGATGGGCATGCCCAGATGCCTGTTCCTCCATCATGCTTTTACCTATATCGACCCAGTCTTTACTACCCTTTCCTCATCTTGGACCTATTCAAAGAGTATTTAGGGTTCAGGGCCTGACTCCCAGCTTCCCTGGCCCTCTTAGATTCCCAATTCTACCCTTTGCCTACATGATGGTTTTCTGAATGGATCCCATCTCAGGGTGCTGTCATGGCTCCTCCTGGTAGAGTCCATCAGGCCCATGGTTCCAATCTTCCATGTTGGGCTTGGGACCAACATGCCTTTGGAGGAGATGGGCAATATTTGAAGAGAGGGAAGCCCTAAGAAATTAGGTGTGTGACCAAACCCATCCTTCTGCCAGTCGGTGGATATAGGATGTGCAGCTGGGAGCTCCACGGTGGTGGCAGTCTACAGCCAGCCAACCAGCCCCTCGCCCCTGGCCCATATTTAGGAGGAGAGCCCATGGTCCCTGCCAGCCAACTCCAGGACTCAGCCCTGCGACTTGATGGTGTAGGAGGGAGCTCTCTTTGTTCCTTTTCATGCACAGCAGAGGGCGCACTGAGGCAGTTCCTCCAGGAGAACCCTGAGTAGCTCATCTCTGGAGCCCAGGCTCTGGGCTGGAGCTGGCAATGCCCTGCTAGTTTCCCTAGGAGGGATCTAGTGACTCATGCTCTTTCTCTGCCCAGCAGAACATTTGCCTTCACTGGAGTCAAAAGCACTGCATTCATATCCCTGTTTTGCCATTTACCAGCTGGTAATCCAGGACAAATTGTTTCTCTTGTGTTTTGGTTTCCTAATCTGAAAAATGGTACCTCCCTCAAAGGGTCATTGTGAGCACTGAATGACCTAATGTTTGTAAATGGTCATCACAGTGCTAGCATCGCAGTAGGTACCCATAGATTTGGATAGTATGTATTGCCTTTTAATCTCAAGGTCCGGATCAATCTGGAGCCCCACTTGGAGCCCACATGCCGTCCCCCTTGCTGACCTACAGCAAGAACTCACTGTTTTGGACCTCAGTGGGGCTGGACTTCAGTCTGGACCACTTGTTCTGGACTCACCAGACCTATGGGAAAATGCATGACACTTGAAGTCAGGAACCCTTGGTCTCACTTCCCACTGTAACAGAGATGTGGGGTCCTGCACAGGGCCCTCCTCCCTCTGAGTTTCTCTTTCCTTAGAACAGATAAGCTCTAAGATTCCTTCCTGCAGGTGGGGCCAGGCCAGCCTGGGCTGCCCCTTCTGTCTGGTGAGGGTTGGGTGATCTCACCTGGCCCCTTGCCCCTGTGGGGCTGTGAGACCCGTCAGCGCCAGCACAACCCTAGTGTAGTTGCCCCATCGGGATTGTTTCCCTCTCTTCCCACCAGGCTGGTTGGCCAGGACTTAGTGAGGAGTACCACATGTCCCCACGAGGTGGCGAGGCTCTCCCATGCCTGATACTTGTCCTCTTTGAGCCCAGGGATTTAAGAGCCTTGGAAACAACCCCCATCTCTCTTTCTCCCTGCACTCTAGGATTGAGAACTCTCAGGGCTCCCCAGGGAGCTGGGGTCACTCTCCCTGGCAGGCCTAAGTCCTCCTTGAGTCCTCACGGGCTCTGACTACAGGGATTTCCCAGATCTTGCTCCTTGACCCGGACTCAGCCTCCCCAGTTCTCCCACCACTGGGGGAGGGAGACTGTCTTGCCAGCCTCAGAGCGGGGAGGGGGGGGCGGGGGGGGGGCAGCCATCTGTGTTCCCAGAGTGCATGGCCTGGCGTTGGCCACCACACGTACGAGCACATGCAAGCACACACACAATACATGTCTGCACATGCCCAGAGTCCAGCTGCAGGGTTGAGCAGGGCCTCAGATTAGCCAAAAACCAAACAAGATTTCTCTTTGTCTCTGGTGTGAACGAGCTGGGCAGATTTTGGTTTTGTGTTTAATACCCTGAGCTGGAGGCCAGCAGCTGGCCTGTGAGGGGCAGGGGAGGGGAATATTCCAGGCCCACCCCAAGGACATCCAGCACCTCTGTCCATGAATGTGACCAGCTGGGACTAGGCTGTTCAGGAGCATCCTCCCCAGCCCCCAATTCATGTTCTTCATCCCCTGAATACAGTGCAAACTGGTGCCCGAGTCCATTGTCAGCCAAGCCTGGAAGGACCTGGCTGCTCCCTCCCTCCCCACTCAGAACCACTCCCTGGGGACATGCTCCATCCTAACATCTGCCCACGTCTCACTTCAGGGAGATGGCCCTGGGATACTGCGTATGGCCTCCTTCACCCACAGTATCTCCCCACGAACGTGGCCTCCTATGCCAACATGTGTTTGCAGTAATTCTCACTCATGTACACAGCCCTGTGTCCCGGGGTGCCCAGCTTGCTCCGTCACCATCGAGGTCCTGTGTGGTGACAGAGAGGTGGGTGAAGAGCACTTCCAGCCCCTGGAGTGGACACGTCATGGGGTGACACCTCTCCAGCTCCCACAGCGTCTCTCCTCTGGTGTTTAAAGGAGCGGCCACTAGGCACTGTGCAAGGAAAGTAGCTGAGGGTGCACTCTGAGCCTCTGGGGCCACCTGGGGGAGGGTTCAAGGGTGGCCGAGGAGCCATCCTTGCTCCTCTACCCTAGCCCTGAGCTTTTCTGCCTACAGGCTGACAGGCAGGGTTGAGGGCTGGATGTTCCCTCAGACTTCTAACGTATAGCCCACCTCCTCACTCTCACCCTGGAATTATTGTTACTTCCCAGCAAGACTCCCTTGCCTTGCCTTTCGTCTCCCATTTCATCCATCATGTACTCTCCCTCAGCCCTAATGGCCCTTACTGTGAACTGGGAGAGTCCTGGACTTTTATTTTCAGGCAGAGGTTGGGGGAAAGGAGGGGGGAGAAAGGGAGGGAGAAAGAAGTTCCTTTTTTTCTTTGAGGGGATCCACTTCTCAGGCCCACCCCCCAGGTGACCCCAGAGGCTCAGCGTGATTCCTCAGCTAATTAACCTGGAAGCTGCCTAGTGGTCTCTTAGCCCACTGGCCCATGTCCCCCATCCCCCACCCAGGGGCAAGGGAAGAGAGGACCCTGGCTCCCATTCCCAGACCTGGTGCCTCCTCTTGGAGCTGCAGGAGTCTATCTGGCCCATACTCTGGTTCAGGTCTTGGTCCCATTTCTTCAGAGGCTTTTCCTGTCCCCACCCTGCCCTTCTAAACCCCAGCTTGACCCCAGGGATCCAAGGCCCAAGGCTCAAAAGGCTGTATGTATTCCACAGACCTTACTCAGACCTAACCCACTGAAGCCCTGTTGAGAGAGGAATGAATGAATGAACGAATGAGTAAAGAGAGCGAGCAAGGGAGCCAGTGAATGCTGGAGTGGCTCACTGCCAGGTGTATAGTGAAGCATTTGAAGTAGCTCAGGTGTGATGATGGTGCCTGGGAGTTAGGTCTCTGCCGACAAACTCCCGTCAGCCCAGGTATCCCTACATGGGGGTTCAAACCCACCTTGAATTCCTCCCTGGAACCCCTAAAGGAAAGCCCAAAGTGTGTATTATGGAAGTGGGTGGGACTGGCCTGTGTCAGAATCACCTGGGCAGTTAAAAAAAAAAAATCACTTTCTGGGTGCCTGGGTGGCTCAGTCAGTTAAGCATCTGACTCTTGATTTTGGCTCTCAGGTCATGATCTCACAGTTCATGAGTTTGAGTCTGACAGCACAGACCCTGCTTGGGATTCTCTCTCTCCCTGTCTTTCTGCCCCCTCCCGTTGGCATGTGCATGCTCTCTCTCAAGATAAATAAACTTAAAAAAATATATTTAAAAAATCACTTTCCCATTACTCTTCCTTCACCCCAGATTCCAATTCACTGGATCTAGGTGCGTCCCCACATGCACTAAAACATTGAAGAGTGAGCTGTGAAAAATAATTGATTCATTACTTTAAAAAGCGAGCTGTAAACCTTGCAAACCCAGGTGGTATTTGGCAGAGATCAAAGAAGACAGCTGCTCAGAAAAGGGAAGTTTAGGGGACAGAGTCAGGGTTAGGGTGGGGGCTAGTCTGAAGTCAGAATTAAGGATATGGCCAGGGTCAGGGTCACTGTGAGTCCAGATTTAGGGTTAGCACAGAGCCATGGCTAGGTTCAGTCTGTGATGGGGGGTGGGAATACAGAAAGGGAGAAAATTTTGCAGTATTTTGGGAGGCAAAAGGGGTCTGCACTATTAGTGGTTAAAATATTAATTTGCATATAAATGATGAGTGTCAGGATGAGCTG